TTCAAACTTACACCACCCAATCTGGACAATCCATAATTATATATTTAAAATCAGTAGCTGAATAATATAATATAATTAACACAAAAAAAAAAAAAAAAAAACAGCCCAAGCCTACAACCCCAACCAGTGGATAATGTCTCTTGTTCCAAGATTTTAAAAAGTTACTTTTATAAACAATGTTTTATTTCTATCTCCAACTAAGGTATGATTTCACAAGAAGTCTCATGAAAATCTCGTAATTTCAAATCTTCGATTCCATGGTTGAAATCTGTAGAGATGGGATATTAGACTTTTTGAATAACCAAACAGCTCAGATTTAGAAAGTTGTTGGTGGCATTAAAGTATAAATAAATGCCGTCATTATTGAAGGTTGTAAAAACCAGCATCTATAAAAGTAGTAGGTCAATTCATAATAATTAAGCTCATTCTCAATATCATCATCATCATCTGAGAAGAGGTGCATGCCATGGCTTGGATTTGGGCCACACTTGCTCTGCTTCTTCTTTCCCATTACCTCTTTCAAACATGGCGATTCAACATCAAGAGCAAGGGCAAGAAATTGCCTCCTGGCCCAAAAGGGTTTCCAATTATTGGCAGCCTCAATTTGCTGAAACAGTTCCCTCACAGAGATCTTCATCGATTGTCTCAAAAATATGGTCCCATCATGCACATGAAATTGGGTCTTGTAAACACCACCGTTGTGTCTTCCGCTGAAGCCGCAGAGCTCTTTTTGAAAACCCACGACCTTGTTTTTGCAAGTAGACCACTCACTATGGTCTCTAAGTTCTTATCTTACGGCCAAAAGAACTTGATTTTTGCTCAGTATGGTTCATATTGGCGCAACGTGCGTAAAATGTGTACACTTGAATTGCTTAGTACCCAAAAGATTAACTCTTTCAAGTCCATGAGAAAGGAAGAGATTGGGTTGGTGATTGAGTATCTAAAAAAGGCTGCAAATGATGGTGTTGCTGTTGATCTTAGCTCTAAAATTGTGTCTCTAAGCACAGACATGACTTGTTTGATGGTTTTTGGGAGGAAATTTGGTGATGAAGAGCTTGATGATAGGGGCTTCAAGGCTATGATCCAAGAGGTGATGCAATTAGTTGCTGCTCCTAACTTGGGTGATTTTATTCCTTTTATTGCAACCTTTGATCTTCAAGGGCTGACCCGTCGGATGAAAATCGTCAGCCAAGTGTTTGATGGTTTCTTTGAGAGAATTATTGATGAGCATCTCAAGTCCAGGTCCTTAGGTGAAAAAAGAACCAAAGACTTTTTAGATTTCATGTTGGATTTAATTGGCTCCGAAGATACTGAATATCGGATCGATCGATCTAGCGTCAAAGCAATAATATTGGTGAGTTTTTTTTTCTCCCTCTCCTTCTTTAGCTTTTAGTTTCGGTGAGATCTCACCTTGATTGAAGGGAGAAGAAAACTCTCCCTAGCAGACACATTTTAAAACCATGAAACTCGTGGCGATACATAACGGGTCAAAACAGTCAATAGCTAACGGTGGGTTTGGACTGTTACAAATAGTATCAGAGCCAGACACAGGATGGTGTGTCAGCAAGAATGCTGACACCAAGAGAGTGAATTGTGAAATCTCACGTCGAAAACCTCTCCCTAACAAATGCATTGACATAAATACGTAACCAATTAAAGTGTAGAATATCTTTCCCAGCCATAATGGTGGGAAGGGAGAGATTTGAACTCATTTATGTTTTATATGTTTTTTCTGTTTTTTTAATAGGATATACTTGGTGCTGCAATGGACACGTCAGCCACAGTAATTGGATGGGCACTACCTGAGCTCATTAGGCATCCAGATGTAATGATGAAAGTGCAAGATGAACTAGAACATGTGGTTGGCTTGGATAGAATGGTAGAAGAATCAGATCTAATTCACTTGGAATATTTGGATATGGTCATCAAAGAGATTCTTAGGTTGTATCCACCCGTTCCATTATTAGTTCCTCATGAATCTCTTCAAGATTGCATCATTGATGATTATTTTATCCCAAAAAAATCACGTGTAATACTGAATGCATGGGCCATTGGACGAAATCCAAGTTCTTGGGCTAATCCAGAAAAGTTCTATCCCGAGAGGTTTAATGGTAGCCAAGTAGATGTAAGAGGGAGACATTTTCAATTAATTCCATTTGGAGCTGGTCGAAGAGGTTGCCCGGGAATGCAACTGGGTTTGACGGTGACTCATTTGGTGGTAGCTCAACTTGTGCATTGTTTTCATTGGAAGCTTTCGAATGATATGTCTGTAGATGAATTAGACATGACAGAAGAATTTGGCTTAACTTGTCCTAGAGCTCAAGATCTTATAGTAGTTCCTATTTATCGTCTTCACATTTGAATTTACTCTTTCTTCCGTGCTAAATCCAATTATGTAAAAGAATTTTTATATTTCGAATAAAAATTTATAGAAATAAAAAAAAAATAACAACGGGCAATAAAGGGTAATATTGGCAAGGGAAACTTTGTTTTCGTTTTAACCTTTTATATATAATCTTACTTAAATTAAAAGATTGATTAAAGTTTCAAAAATAAACCATATATTAATTACTTTTGCAAACAGTTCAACGGACAGATTTTTATAAAAAAAAAATCATTAAATCGTATAATTAATCTGCATTTATTAGATTTCATTATTAAAATTAATTCTACAACGATTATGTATCAGTATAATTTAGTATAATTTAGTTATTTGGTGACAACAATAAATACATAACAAAGCTCTCATTTATTATGGACCGAAAAAACTTGTAATTTCATCCTCCACATTTCCAGTTTATAAGCTAACTTTTGGTAGCTTTAGAGATTGATCTCCACTCATCCCCAAAATGGCTTGGATTTGGATCATTATTATCATGTTTGCTCTTGTGCTTCTCTTTTGGGCATGGATGGGGAGGAACAAAAGCAAGAAACTACCACCTGATCCCAAAGGGTTTCCATTTTGGGTTCCCTTCATTTGCTGGGAAAGCTTCCCCACAGAGATCTTCATTCCTTGTCTCAAACATATGGACCCATCATGCACATGAAACTAGGCCTTGTTAACACCATTGTCGTGTCTTCCCCTGAAGCCGCCGAGCTGTTTTTGAAAACCCATGACCTTGTTTTTGCAAGTCGGGCACCTAATGAGGTTTTCAAGAACGTATCTTTTAGCCAAAAGACCATTGCATTTGCTAAATATGGTCCTTATTGGCGCAACATGCGCAAAGTGTGCATACTCGAGTTGCTTAGCAACCACAAAGCCAATTGTCTCCAATCCATGAGAAGGCAAGAGCTCGGGTTCACGATCCACCAACTTCGTGACGCTGCAAAGAGTGGCATGGTTGTAAATCTTAGTTCTAAAATCTATTCCCTCACTGCAAACATGGCATCTCTTATGATCTTAGGGAGAAGATTTGAAGATAAAGAACTTGATGAGATGGGGTTTAAGTGGATGATTCAAGAGATCTTCCATTTAGCTGGAGCTTTTAACTTGGGGGACTTCATCCCTTTCTTGATCTTCAAGGATTCATCCGTGGTGCAAGATCCGTTCATAAAGTATGTGATACGTTCTTTGAAAAGATCCTAGATGAACACCTTGAATCCAACAACAATGATACCAAAGATTTGGTGGATGTCATGTTGGACATTATGGGCTCTCAAGCAACCGAGTATCAAATTGATCCATCCACCATCAAAGCCATAATACTAGTAGCATTCGTACTTCATAGCTTTGATTTTATTTTTATAATTCTTTAATAATTTGTTGATATTTTCTCCTAATCATACATTATTTTTATGACATGCTTCTTGGGGGAGTGGAGACATCAGCCACCACCATTGAATGGGCACTAGCTGAGCTCATTAGACATCCACAAACAATGAAGAAAATGCAAGATGAATTACAAAAAGTTAGTGGGTTTGAATAGAATGGTGAAGAAGCAGACTTGGATCACTTCTAATACTTAGACTTAGATCACTTGGAATACTTAGATATGATAGTTAAAAGAGACTTTTAGGTTACATCCTCCAAGTCCATTACCCATTCCACGTGAGTCTGTCAAAAGATTTAGTAGTTAATGACTTCTACATTCCTAAAAAGTCGCGTACAATAATAAATGTATGGGCGATTGGACGAGACCCAAGTGTTTGGATTGATGCACAAAAACTCTTTCCTTAAAGTTTTATTGGCAATCGGGTGGATGTGAAAGAAAGAGATTTTCAACTACTTTCAATTGGATTTGGTAGAAGGGGTTGTCCTAGAATACAAATAGGTTTAGTCACGGTTCATTTAGCATTGGCTCAGCTCGTGCATTGTTTTGATGGGAAGCTTCCAAATGATATGCAACCAGATGGATTAGATATGACAGAAAAGTTTGGTTTAAGCTGTCATTTAGCTCACAATATCATGACTACTCCTACGTACTGTCTGCAAGACTAATGAATTTGGTCGGTGATAATCTTACCCGGAGAGCCAAAGAGGTTAAAGGACATTATGGGATTTGTCAATTATGCAAGAAAGTATTAAGTATAATTTGTACATGGAGAGCTTCCCATGTATTTGAGTACTAAATAAAGTAATGCAATGAATGTTACATTATACTTGGTACTTTTAAAATATTAAAATTACATTAAAAAAAATTATCTATATTCTTTGAGACTAATTTATTCAACAATTATATTAAAATTTCCATAGCCTTAAATTCTTTGGGTAAAATATATTTATTTAATTTTAATTTTAATTTGTAATTGGGTTTCAATTTTTAGAATATAGGTTGGAATGGATTTGGATTTAATTTTTTTATGTAGCTCTCTAAAAAAAATCAAAATTATCCGATGTAAGGATCTCTCTAGATAAGAGTTTCCCATCTAACGCCAGATATCATGGACACGTATTATTATATCAATAGATCTGCTTTGAAACCGTCGGATCTGATATAAAGACGTGACATGCTTGACGGCGAGATCTTCAAAAGCCTTCTACATTTGGGTATGATCTCCTTATGGCTTGGATTCTGCTAGCTGTTGCATTGGTTGGTGTAGCTCTTCTCTGGAGATCATGGCTGCATAGAGGTCCCAACCAATTGCCGCCGGGTCCTAGGGGGTTTCCAATTTTGGGTAGCCTTCATTTGTTGGGAAAGCTTCCTCATAGAGACCTTCGAGCCTTATCTCAAAAATATGGGTCCATTATGTACATGAGGCTCGGCCTTGTGTCCACCATCGTTGTCTCTTCTCCTCAAGCTGCCGAGCTCTTCCTCAAAACCTACGACTCAGTGTTCGCTAGTCGCCCATTTCTTCTGGCTTCTAAGTATATATCATACGGTCAAAAGAATTTGGGGTTTGCTCCGTATGGCTCATATTGGCGTAATATGCGTAAAATGTGCACCCTTGAATTGCTAAGCAATGTCAAAGTCAACTCTTTTAGATCAATGAGAAGGGAAGAGCTTGGTTTGTTGGTTGACTATCTTCGAGATGCTGCAAAGAATCGTGCCGTTGTGAATCTTAGCTCCAAAGTTTGTGGTGTCATCACGGATATGACATGTCTGATGGTGTTTGGAAAGAAATATGCTGACCAAGAGTTCGATGAGAGGGGTTTCAAGTCTGTGATACAAGAGGGGTTGCAGTTAGTAGCTACTCCTAACATGGGAGATTTTATTCCTCAAATTGCAGCACTTGATCTTCAAGGGTTGGACCGCCGCTCAAAAGCTGTTAGTAAGATATTTGATGGGTTCCTTGAGAAGATTATTGACGACCATCTTGAATCCAAGCATGAAAATAAGACCAAAGATTTTGTGGATGTCATGTTGGACATCATGAACTCCCAACAAACTGAGTATCAGATCCAACGGTCTAACGTTAAAGCTATACTTATTGTAAGTATACTTTCTATGCATTCATGCTTTACTGATATTAATACTTAAACTAAGGGTATGGGACAGCATCATGCTTTTCTGATTATTTTTGGATAAATTATGGAATTAGCTCAAGTCTACCGCAATTAGGAATGGTCTTCTCAAAGTTTTCAAATTGTTGTTGGTAGGGACAGGTTTTCATATTCTTTAAAGCTTCCCTCTCAAAGTTTTTGAAATGTGTTTGATAGAGAGAGTATTTCATATCGTCTTAAAGAATATTCGTGCTCTTACCCAACCGATATGGGATCTCACAATTCACTCCCTTCTGAGCCAGCGTCTTTTCTGACACATTGTCCGGTACTATTTGTAACAGTTCAAGCCTGCCGCTACTCCATATTGTCCTCTTGGAAATTTTTCTCATGGGTTTTCCCTCAAAAATTTTAAAATGCGTTTGATAGTCTGTTAGAGAGATGTTTCCATGGTCTTATAAAGTATGGTTCGATCTTTTCTCCCACCGATGTGGGATCTCACATGAAATCTGTTATATCATGAAGTTAGTTCTAAAATTTTATTAGCATGCCTCCTTAAAGATTTCCGTTCTTGATTATAATTATTTTGATACTATTTTTAGGATATGCTAGTTGCCGGAATGGACACTTCAGCCACTACCATCGGATGGGCGATACCCGAGCTCATCAGGCATCCACATGTGATGAAGAAAATGCAAGATGAATTAGAAAAGGTGGTGGGTTTTGATAAGAAGGTTGAAGAATCCGACTTGGATCAATTAGAATACTTGGACATGGTTGTTAAGGAAATTCTCAGGCTACATCCACCCGCTCCAATATTAGTTCCGCACGAGTCTCTTGAAGACTGCGTTGTTAATGGCTTCCATATTCCGAAGAAATCACGCATAATAGTGAATGGATGGGCAATCGGAAGAGACCCTAACATTTGGATTGAACCAGAGAAATTCTTTCCCGAAAGGTTTATGGGTAGTCAACTAGATGTGAAAGGGAGAGATTTTCAATTGATTCCTTTCGGATCGGGTCGAAGAGGTTGTCCTGGAATGCAACTAGGTCTAACAATGGTTCGTTTGGTGGTAGCTCAACTTGTGCATTGTTTTGATTGGGAGCTTCCAAACATGTTACCTATGGAATTGGATATGACAGAAGAATTTGGATTAACTTGTCCGAGGGCCGAAGATCTTATGGTTACTCCTATTTATCGCCTAAACAACTAACAAGCTATATAATTATACATATAACTTATTTATCAGCTTGTAATGTGTAATAGCTCAGCTTTGGTTGGGTCACAATCAATGAGTGACTCAAGTCCTTGTGCTGTATGGGAAGGTGAGCAATAAACATAAGACATCAATTGCATAAAGACATTACATATGCCAATAAACAACTTGCTCAGATGCATTCAAAGTCTGTCGAGACCCACCGTTCTATTATTGGTTCTACACAAGTCTCTCGAAGGTTGTACAATTAATAGCATCCATACCCTTAGGAAATTGCACATAATATTGAACATACGAGGGAGTAGATGAAACCTAATGTTAGTGAAAGAGGGATTTATCGAATGCTCTATATATATATATATACAATATAAAGAGATATCTAGAAAATCTACCCAGAAATCAGGAAGTTTGGTAACAAACGAGTAAACAAATTAAATTAAAACAAAATCTAATCAAATCAATAGTAAATCAAATAAAAACTAAATCTAATTCCTTGTTTAACTCCAGAACTGGCTTCACTGCACAAGCCAGTTCTGGAGTTAATTGACGTGAGATGGTTTCTTATTTAGTGTAAGAACGAAATACTCCTTATAAATGTGTGTAAATCCCTCCCTACTAGGTGCATTTTAAAATTGTGAGGGGATTGTGAGGGGATAGTAACGCGAAAGCGAACAATATCTTTTAACAGTGGTGTGAGATTCCACATTAATTAGAGAGAGGAACGAGTCTCAATGATATAGAAACATTAGACCCCAAAGAGGGGATGAATTGTTTTTTATAAGGATATGAAAATCTCTCTCTACCTTTTAAGAAACCTTGAGCAAAAGCCTGAAAGAGAAAGCACAAAAAGAACCATATCTGTTAGCTGTAGAGGACACTAGGCGATATGCTATCTGGGCTCAAGGAGGTAAATTATGAGATCTCACAATCTCATATCGGTTGGAGACTTTACAGTGTGTCAACGAGGATGTTAGGCTCCCAAAGGATTGGATTGTGAGATTCCACAATCTCGCAACGGTTGGAGAGAAAAAACGCACTCTTTGTAAAGATATGGAAATCTCACTCCGTTTGGAGAGAGAGGTACGAAACACTTAGGATCGAAAACCTCTCCCTTGTTAAAGGCTACGTTGAAATGTCCGTTCATACAAGACGGTTTAAGGTTATTATTAACACACTACGCAAAAGTTTAAACTAACAATTAATACTATAAATTTAAATATATTTTTATTAAAAAATTGATTATTGATGTTCCCAATGCATTTGCATAATTCAAGTGGCCCACCCTTATCATCTCTTGACTTTATATGAAACAAAACAACAAACATTCAATGCAAGCAGATTGGTCCCACGCTCTACTTGTAGGAAACAAACAGAAAATAACACAAAAGTCGAATGGATCTCAATCCCATATCCCAATTCAGCATCCCAAGAGTGGATCTCTGGCAGATATGATATCACTGATTTTCAAAACGGGACAAGCTTCAGCTTTGTGTTCATCACAAGGACGGCATTTCAGCTTTTTAAACAACCCACATCTCCACAACCCTTCTACACTTGCTATGAGATTATGGCTTGGATTTTGCTAGCTATTGCATTGCTTGGTATAGCTCTTTTCTTCACATCATGGCTGCATAGAGGTCCCAACCAATTGCCTCCTGGTCCTAGAGGGCTTCCAATTTTGGGTAGCCTTCATTTGTTGGGAAAGCTTCCCCATAGAGACCTTCGAGCCTTATCTCAAAAATATGGATCCATTATGTACATGAGGCTCGGCCTTGTGCCCACCATCGTTGTCTCCTCTCCTCAAGCTGCCGAGCTCTTCCTCAAAACCCATGATATTGTCTTTGCTAGTCGCCCCTTTGTTCAAGCTTCCAAGTACATGTCATACGGTCAAAAGAACTTGGCGTTTGCTCCGTATGGCTCATATTGGCGTAATATGCGTAAGATGTGCACACTTGAATTGCTGAGCAATGTCAAAGTCAACTCTTTTAGATCAATGAGAAGGGAAGAGCTTGGTTTGTTGGTTGACTATCTTCGAGATGCTGCAAAGAATCGTGCCGTTGTGAATCTTAGCTCCAAAGTTTGTGGTGTCATCACGGATATGACATGTCTGATGGTGTTTGGAAAGAAATATGCTGACCAAGAGTTCGATGAGAGGGGTTTCAAGTCCGTCATACAAGAGGCCATGCATTTAGCAGCTACTCCCAACATGGGAGATTTTATTCCTCAAATTGCAGCGCTTGATCTTCAAGGGTTGGACCGTCGCTCAAAAGCTATTAGTAAGATATTTGATGGGTTCCTTGAGAGGATTGTTGACGACCATCTTGAATCCAAGCATGAAAATAAGACCAAAGATTTTGTGGATGTCATGTTGGACATCATGAACTCCAAAGAAACCGAGTATCAGATCGAACGATCGAACATTAAAGCTATAATTCTTGTAAGTATACTTTACACGTTAATATTGTTTATAATTATTATGGAGATATGATTCATGAATACTTTTGGACACTATTTTTTAGGATATGTTAGTTGCCGCAATGGACACTTCATCTACTACCATCGGATGGGCGATACCCGAGCTCATCAGGCATCCACACGTGATGAAGAAAATGCAAGATGAATTAGAGAAGGTGGTGGGTTTTGATAAGAAGGTTGAAGAATCCGACTTGGACCAATTAGAATACTTGGACATGGTCGTTAAGGAAATTTTCAGGCTACATCCACCAGCTCCTTTATTAATTCCACACGAGTCTCTCGAAGACTGCGCTATTAATGGCTTCCATATTCCTAAGAAATCACGCATAATAGTGAATGGATGGGCAATCGGAAGAGACCCTGATGTTTGGATTGACCCAGAAAAATTCTTTCCTGAGAGGTTTATTGGTAGTCAAATAGAGATGAGAGGGAGAGATTTTGAATTGATTCCCTTTGGATCGGGTCGAAGAGGTTGTCCTGGACTGCAACTGGGCCTAACAATAGTTCGTTTAGTGATAGCCCAACTTGTGCATTGCTTTGATTGGGAGCTTCCAAATGGCATGTCGCCTGATGAATTGGATATGACTGAAAAATTTGGATTAACTTGTCCCAAATCAGTAGATCTTATGGTTACTCCTATTTATCGCCTAAACAACTAACAAGTTATATAATTATTGTTAAAGATTAGTGTTTGTTTAGATTGCTATATTTGATAGTTAGGAGTCTATTTGTTTTTATTTGATTTACTCTTGATTTGATTAGATTTTGTTTTGATTTAATTTGTTTACTTTTTTGTTATCAGATTTCTTGATTTCTAGGTAGATTTTCTAGATATCTCTTTGTATTCTCTCTCTATATAAAGCATTCTTTCTCTTCAAAATTTATCAATCTTCTCGTCAACCATTCAATAAATCCCTCTTTCACTAACAATTGGTATCAGAGCTATCTTCTTAAGGGATCTGTGAGATCAAGATGGAAGGAGAATTCAGTTTTTCTGTTGTTGCACCACCAATCTTCGATAGAGACAATTATCAAATGTGGGCAGTTTGTATGGAGACTTATTTGGAGGCCTTGGATCTTTGGGAAGCAATAGAAGAGGATTATGAGGTCCCTCCGCTTCCAACAAATCCTACTGTAGCACAAATCGCACAAATCAAATTACAGAAGGAAAAGAAGACAAGGAAATCAAAGGTGAAAGCTTGCCTATTTACCGTTGTATCTCAAATGATCTTCATGCGAATAATGTCCCTCAAAACAGCAAAGGAATGGAGAGCTTCGAAAAACCTACAGCTGGTTCATACTGATCTTTGTGGTCCTCAGCGAACACCATCATTAAATGGTAATCTTTATTACATTATTTTTATTGATGATCTAACAAGAATGTGTTGAATCTTCTTTATGAAGCAAAAGTCAGAAGTTGCAGGTGTATTTTGGAAATTCAAGGCCAGAGTTGAGAATGAAAGTATATGCTTGATTAAGACGGTAAGATCAGATAATGGTAAGGAGTACACTTCAGAAACTTTTAACAGGTTTTGTGAAGAGGCTAGAATTGAACATCAGTTGACAGCACCATACACTCCTCAACAGAATGGCGTTAGTGATAGGAGGAATAGATTCATAATGGAGATGACGAGATGCATGCTTCATGAGAAGGATCTTCCAAAATGTTTTTGGGGAGAAGCAGCAAACACTGCTGTGTACTTGCAAAATCGAATTTCAACAAAAGCTGTGAAGGACCTGACACCATTTGAAGCTTGGTATGGTTACAAACCTTCTTTAAAGTTCCTTAAAGTATTTGGGTGTCTTTGCTTCACTTACATTCCACAGGTCAAGCGTGATAAGCTTGACAAAAAGGCAGAAGCTGGGATATTTGTTGGGCATAGCACTATATCCAAAGCTTATAGAGTTTTTCAACCTCACACTAGTTGAGTTATTGTGAGCCAAGATGTTCATTTTGCTGAAAATGAGCAATGGAATTGGGAAGAGGCTGACAAAGGTGAATCAAATTTCTAATGCACCAAACAATTTATCCTTTGGTAGCATGTTAGAAGAATCTGAAGATGAACGACAAGAAGAGTCTGAAGATGAACAACAAGATGATTTGGTTGATGATGCACCTGTGAGAGGTACAAGGTTACTGTCTGATATTTATCAAAGGTGAAATGTAGCTATTTGTGAGCCTGCAGGGTTTCATGATGCAAAAAACAGCCAACATTGGATGGCTGCAATGCAGGAGGAGCTTTTGATGATCGAGAAAAACAAAACATGGAAGTTGGTTGATCGACCTCTAAACAGAAAGATAATTGGAGTAAGATGAGTATTCAGAACAAAGCTAAATCCTGATGGTTCAGTTAACAAATACACAGCAAGACTTGTTGTGAAGGGATATGCACAAGTTTTTGGAGTTGACTATTCAGAAACATTTGCACCAGTTGCTAGGCTTGATACAGTAAGATTGTTGCTTGTTATTGCTGCTCAAAAGAGTTGGAAAGTATTCCAGTTAGATGTTAAATCTGCGTTCTTAAATGGAGTCTTGCAAGAAGAAATTTTTGTCGAGCAACCGGAAGGTTTTGTGAGCAGAGGCAATGAAGATAAAGTCTACTTGCTGAGAAGGGCTTTATACGGTCTTAAACAGGCTCCGCGAGCATGGTACAGTAAAATTGATGATCATTTGGTTGGTCTTGGCTTTCAGAAAAGTCAATCTGAATTCACACTGTATGTCAAGCATAAAGGTACAAATACTTTAGTCATTTCTCTGTATGTAGATGACTTATTAATTATAGAAAGCAATCCTAAGCAAATTAACAAGTTCAAACTGGAAATGAAAAAAATCTTCGAAATAACAGACCTTGGTCTGATGTCATTTTTCCTTGGCATTGAGATCAAGCAAACCCAAGATGAAGTGTTCATTTGCCAAAGAAAGTATGCAAAGGAGATACTTAAAAAATTTCAGATGGAGGATTGCAAAGCAATGAATACTCCTATGAATCAAAAGGAGAAGCTGGTCAAAGATGATGGTTCTGCCAAAGTTATTGAAGCTGAGTTCCGAAGCTTGGTAGGGTGCCTGATGTACTTAACAACAACCAGACCTGATATCGTAAATGTTGTAAGTATTCTCTCTAGATTTATGCATTGTCCCAATGAGACTCACATGAAAGCTGCAAAGAGAGTTATCAGATACATCAAAGGGACCTGGAATTATGGAGTGAAGTTCTTAAAGCACAAGGAAATGAAGCTAATTGGTTTCTCTGACAGTGATTGGGGTGGCTCAATCGATGACATGAAGAGTACATCTGGTTACTGTTTTTTCCTCGGATCAGGCATGTTCTCTGGTGCTCAAGAAAGCAGGAAACTGTAGCTCAATCCACTGCTGAGGTAGAATTGATAGCTACAATAGCCGCAGTTAATCAAGCTCTCTAGTTAAGGAAAATTCTCGTGGATCTAAACTTGGAGCAAAAACACAGCACTGAGATACTAGTTGATAACCAAGCTGCTATTGCAATCTCCAATAATCCAGTTTTTCATTGAAAAACTAAGCATTTCAACATCAAGTTATTCTTTGTTCGAGAAGTTCAAAAGAGTGGTGATGAGACTCTTTGCTATTGCAAATCTGAAGATCAAATTGCAGATCTCCTTACCAAACCTCTGCCACTTAGCAAGTTTGAAAATTTCAAAAAAAAAAACTTAGAGTTTGCAGCATCTAAACCAGGAGAAGTGTTAAAGATTAATGTTTGTTTATATTGTTGTATTTGGTTAAATCTTCTGATAGTTAGGAGTCAATTTATTTTTATGATAGTTAAGAGTCGATTTGTTTTTATTTGATTTAATTTGATTAGATTTTGCTTTGATTTAATTTGTTTACTGGTTTGTTACCAGATTTCCTGATTTCTAGATAGATTTGTCAGATATCTCTTTGTATTCTCAGTATATATATAGAGCATTCTTGCTCTTCAAAATTCAATCAATCTTATCATTCAATCAATCCCTCTTTCACTAACAATTATACATAACTTATTCGAATAACTAAGTTGGTTATGATGTTATCAGCCTATACATGTCGAAAGAGCACAGCTTTCGTTGGGTCACAATCAATGTGTCAAAAGAAAACTTTTGTGTATTTGATCAAGAGTCATAACTCATAACCCTTTGTGTATTTGGTGGGGCATAAGTCATCATTGTACGAAGACATGTTACGTGTGCCAATAAACAAGTTGGGTAAGTGAATACAAACCGTGTTGGGATCCACCATTGTATTGTTGGTTCTACACACGTCTCTCGATGGTTGTACAATCAATAGCATCCATACCCCCACGAAAGAGATTTTTGAGTGAACATTAGACCCCAACTCTAAGCAATGAGCAATCCATCCTTCGTCCTTCATAGATCGACAGCCCCAAATTGGCTCGTTTTTGTGTCGCCTATACTTCTTTTGGTTAAACGCTCACCCCCAAATGAATAAATGCCAACCTTGAAAGATTGAGCCAATTCTCGAGCAAAATAGCCAAATGCTCCTAGATTGTGTCATAATCGTACTTTTTCTCAATGTGAGGGTCATGACCTATTCTTTTTATAATATAATTGTAACCCTCCGCAACACTTGTTGGTGTCATCAAGCGATAAAGTTCATTGTCGAAAGATGGGTCTATTAAGATAACAAGTGTCATGTAGCCACTCGTTCAAAGACAAAAACTAAAAATCTTAAATGACACTTAAGTAAAGAAGGAGTACATGAATGAACTAATATCACATTTGAATGAAAATATGATACTAAGAATGGTTTAAAAGAACTTAAAGTCATTACTTATACCAATAAGGTACACTCTCATTTTCGGTAAATCAAACATGAAGTCAATTATAGAAATTTCGTGATTAAGTGTGCACACTCTTACCTCCTCCCTCCAAAAAGTATCTCAAATTTATATCCATAGGTTATAAGAGAATATATAAATTATTGCAAACTCTACTTAAGGTGTGATGTCCCATATCGGTTGGGAAGAGAATGAAACACCATTTATAAGGGTGTGCCTCTCTATAGTAGAGTCGTTTTAACTTGAGGGAAAGTACGAAAGAAAAAGTCCAAAAAAAACAATATCGACTAGTGGTGGGCAAGCTTGGACGGCACAAATTCAGTCTCAGAGTTGGAAAAGTAATTTTAAAATTAACACAAAAGTTTAAATGCGACCGACCTATTAATATGATTAAATTTACCCATAATTCATAGTTTGAAGTTGTGTTGAGTACTTGATATAAACATGTTCAAGAATTGGTGCGCCATGTGAAAAACGGCATGCTTCCGACGATGGCGACAACAGCTGACAATGTTGGTTGCCAACACCCTTCCACCACGAATCAGCTACCGGAAAACGTGAACACTGAATGAAAGGACTGACAGTGGTCGGTTGGGCTGAGTGGATACGCAATTGTGGGTGTCCAAACCAAATTGGACCATCAATAAATTGATTTGTCAATAGGGTTCTATCAACATAGGTAAAATCACATATGGTTGCTATTAAATTACCGGTTTTTCTTTTTATCATTCATACTCATTCATCACGTTTTGAATTAAATTATATATATGTACATTTAAATAGCAACGCTCTATGCAATGTGGATTGCATATCTCCTACTTTTATCCTCAACTTAGCACAAAAAAATGGCTTGGATTTGGATGATTATTATCATGTTTGCTCTTGTGCTTCTCTTTCGGTCATGGCTGTTGAAGAACAAAGCCAAGAATCTACCTCCGGGGCCCAAAGGGTTTCCCATTTTGGGTAGCCTTCATTTGTTAGGGAAGCTTCCTCATAGAGATATTCAACGATTGTCTCAAAGATATGGGCCCATCATGCACATGAAATTGGGCCTTGTAAACACCATTGTTGTGTCTTCCCCTGAAGCTGCAGCTCTGTTTTTGAAAACCCATGATCTTGTTTTTGCAAGTCGTCCACAAAATCAGGTTTTCAAGCACATGTCTTATGGAGAAAGGAGCATGGTGTTCTCAAAATATGGGCATTATTGGCGCAACATGCGCAAAATATGCACACTCGAGTTGCTTAGTAATCAAAAGGTCAATTTTTTCAAATCAATGAGAAGGGAAGAGCTCAGCTTGTTGATTGATGAGCTTCGTGAGGCTGCCAAGAGTGAGGTGGTTGTTAATCTTAGCTCAAAAGTTTGTTCCCTTAGTGCAAACATGACATGTTTGATGATCTTTGGCAAAAAATTTGAAGATAGAGACCTTGATGAGAGGGGTTTTAAGTGGGTGGTACAAGAAGCCTTGAAATTAGCTGCAGCTTTTAACTTGGGGGACTTCATTCCTTTTATTTCAGCTCTTGATCTTCAAGGATTGATCCAACGTGCAAAATGTGTTAATAAAGTATGTGATAGGTTTTTTGAAAGGATCCTTGATGAACATCTTGAATCCAAGAATGATGATAGTAAAGATTTCGTAGACGTTATGTTAGGCATTATGGGGTCAGAGGTAACCGAGTATCAAATTGATCGATCCAGCATTAAAGCCATAATGCTCGTAAGTAAACATTTTGCATTCATATTCAAAGTCTGTTTAGAATGGCTTTTAACGTACATTATTTTTTAGGATATACTTCTTGCGGCGACAGACTCGTCAGCCGTCACCATTGGATGGGCAGTAGCTGAGCTCATCAAACATCCATATGTAATGAAGAATGTACAAGATGAATTAGAAAAGGTTGTGGGTTTGAATAGAATGGTGGAAGAAACAGACTTGTGTCACTTGACCTACTTAGAAATAGTAGTCAAAGAGGTTTTGAGATTACATCCCCCGGGTCCATTAATAGTTCCACACGAAGCGGTTAAAGATTGTACGGTTAATAACTTCCATATACCTAAAAAGTCACGGATTATAATAAATGTGTGGGCAATTGGACGAAATCCAAGTGCCTGGACTGATGCTGAAAAATTCTTTCCAGAAAGATTTATTGGTAGTCAAGTGGACGTGAAGGGAAAAGATTTTCAACTACTTCCGTTTGGATCTGGTCGAAGAGGTTGTCCTGGAATACAAGTGGGACTAGTCACAGTTCATTTAATCTTGGCTCAACTCATACATTGTTTTGATTGGAAGCTTCCAAATGGTATGCTACCCGCTGACTTGGATATGATGGAAGCGTTTGGTTTAAGCTGTCCCATTGCTCAGGATATTATGGTTACTCCTATTTACCGTCTACGAGACTAATACGTTGGTGATAGCGTTGCCCAAAGCTAAAGAAGTTAAAAGGGTGTTATGGGCTTTGTCATTTGAGGCTACTAAGATTTATATGCAATGAAGTGTAATCTGTATTCGATTTCTATATAAAGTAATGTAATGAATGAATAAAGTATTTGGTATATATCATTCAAAACCTCCATAGATATTATTAGAACATTTTAATTTGATGAGAGATGATATTAGAAATATAGAAACTTAATGAATAATCAAATAACTTTACCCCATTTTGAGGATATGCTAGTTGCATCAATGGACACTTTCAGCCACCACTGTCGGATGGGCACTACCTAAGCTCATCAAGCATCCACGTGGATGAGAAAATGCAAGATGAATTAGAAAAGCTGGTTGGGTTTGAATAGGAAGGTGGATGTGACAGCTCAATGAGTCGTACTTATAGCAAATATTATTCGTTTTGGCTCGTAATGTATTGTCGTCAGCTTCACGGTTTTAAAACAGTTCTTGTTGGCACACTGTTCAGCGTCTAGGCTTAATACCATTTGTAACGACCCAAGTCCACAGCTAGTAGATATTGTTTGTTTTTGTCCGTTACGTATCACCGTCAGCCTCAAGGTTTTAAAACGTGTATGTTCGTGAAATTTTCACACCCTTATAAGGAATGCTTCATTCCACTCTCCAACTACTATGGGATTTCACCGTGGAAGAATTCAACTTGGATCAATTAGAATAACTCACGCATAATGGTGGTGAATGTAGGAGCAATTGGAAGAGACTAACGTATGGATTAATTCGTAACAGAGCTCAAGATCTTATGATTACTTAGTCTTTGCAATGCGTGCACATAACTTGTTCAAATAACTAAATAGTTTCAAGTGAACATTTTTTTGTTTTCATTAACATACTAATGAAACTCTTGTAGGGAAAAAAAATGAATGGATACCGTTCATTTACAAGAAAATTTCACGGAGAAACATGGTGACAATATGCCCAAAATCTGTAGGCTGAAACCAATACGAAGCGAAAAATAGGAAACAAAAACAAATGGGTCGAGGAACACGGAAAAAACTAATTCCAAGACGCATGTACACAAGGGGGAGAGGGGGAGGGGGTGGAAATCAAACAGATATAGCACATAAATCATCGAAGACTTGTCTGATGTTAGGCCTCTCATTTACAGGGAGAATGCACTTGAGGGATATAGCCAACAGTTCATCCATAGCTTTCGAAGGCTCTTCTCCGACGACGATATCTCGGTCTATGCAGTCCATTCTTCGTCCTTCTTGATCGCATAGACGTACCCAATCTGTAAGATCGACAGCCCCAGATTGGCCTGATATTATGTCGCCTGCACTTCTTTTGGTTAAAAGCTCCATTAGAATCACCCCAAATGAATAAATGTCAGCCTTGAAAGATGGACCAGGTTTCGCTGCACAAGCCAGTTCTGGAGCACAATATCCAAGTGCCCCTAGATTCAATATCTGCTCCGCAATGCCTGCTGGTGTCATCAAGCGGTGAAGTCCGTAGTCAGTGAGGCGGGCATCAGAATCATGGCCTGCCAAGATAATATTTGTTGGCTTTAAGTTTCCATGGGGGAGGCCACTGTCGTGAAGGTATAACAGACAGCGAGCAACTTCCACTGCAATTTTTAGTCTCTGACTGAAGGTCAACCGAGAATAACTTCGAGGTGTAGTTTCTGCCACAAAAAGAAACAATACAATGAATCACTAGAATACACAGAAGTAGTCTTAGAGAGAGTCAGATTGCACGGGGAAGTACTTCTGCAAGAAGAATACAGTGATATTCTAGTGTTTCTTTACAGTAAATGATTGCAAACTAGGCAGAAACTTATGATTCCAACCACAGGCTGAACATTCTTGTTCCCGCTATGAAATTGACATCCAGAAAGATCTCTGGACGTGGTAGTAATAAAAAGATGATAAGTATAACAAGAACAAAGAGACTGCATCACTGCAAAAATAGGCCATCTTCAATTGTTGTGCGGCCACTCATTCAAGGATAGAGCTACAAATTTTATATATGCCATTCAAGCTCTTTTATACGAGATTTGGGAGAAAAGAAACAGAAATGCCTTCAAAAAAAAAAAAAAAAAAAAAAAAAAAAAAAAAAAAAAAAAAAAAAAAAAAAAAAAAAAAGTTTGTGTTTGTAACCGCCCAATCCCACCAGTAGCAGATATTGTCTTTTTTAGACTTTCTCTTCGAGGCTTCCCTCCAAGGTTTTTAAAACACGTCTGCTAGGAATAGGTTTCCACGCCTTTATAAAGAATGTTTCGTTCTCCTCCCTAATAGATGTGGGATCTCACAATCCACCCCCTTCGAGATCCAGCGTCCTTACTGACACATCGCCTCGTGTCCACCCCTCTTCGGGGCTCCCTCACTGACACATCGCCTAGTGTCTGGCGTTGATACCATTTGTAATAGTCCAAGCCCAATGCTAACAGATATTGTCCTCTTTGGGTCGTTACAAATGGTATTAAAGTTAGTCATCAGACTGTGCGAAGTCAGAGTAGGGCAAGACCCTTTCCATAATGGATGCATTTTAAAATCTTGGAGTAGTTGAGGGATCTTACACGGTTTCCTACTTGTTAGTGGTGGGCTTGGACTACTACAAAGTGTTAGTAGTTGAGGGATCTTATAAGGTTTCCTACCTGGTGTTTTCTTTCAAACAACTACCGTCAATATAGCTTTTTCTTCTTTTCTCATCTTCCACTTTTGCATTAAAAAAGTGTTAAAACGTTATAATACTTGTTCCGAAATTTACAAACAAATAAGAGAATCTAGAACCATAATTTATCCCGGAAAAAAAAAATAAACAGAATCTTGTCAAAGGCAAAAAAAAGCAATCTAAAATTATAGTATAGCAATGGCACTTTAAGGGCAGGGCTACGTGATGAACTTTTGAGTATGAGACAAGCAGCTACATGAGATCTAAAACTACGGCAATGATCATCATAATTGACAATAACAAAAAAGTGACCACTTGTTGCACTTCACAACTTATTTTGCTATCTCTATTATGATAATCAAGACATACATCTTGGACTTCAAACTCCATCAAATCATCAATATGTTCGTCAAGTTATGCCAAACAAATAAAGGTTGATTGTGTATTTGTTAAAACCATAAATCAAAATAAAATGAGCAAAACTAATACCAAAAGTTCAAAAACCTTGAAACAAAATTTTGGATAAGAATTTATGCCGAAGAAATGAGTGCCACAAGAGCACTGAGAGTTGAATTAGTACCCATTCGTCATGGAATTCTGACCTATGATAATAGAGGCTCTCAAAAGTGTTTTGAAAAAGGGCCCATTCTAGGCTTAAATGATATACATCAGAAAACAAGAGTTTTGGCCACAGTTTATCAACAAAAAACTATCTGCAAAAGATTTCTATTCCATTTTCCAACCCTTTACTTTCATGCATGAGTAATGCAAGAAGGAACTATTCTTGGCATGTACATTCATCACTACCAACCAATGTAAAAATCACAATTTTCTTTTCAGAGCGATTACTCCAACGGTAAAAAATCCAGAAAATAATTGCATCGGTGACAGGACACATAAAAGGGTATGTGCAGGTCCATACAGTTAGCGTCAGTAAAAAATAAGCAAAGAAATACCTAAACATAAAAAGGAAGATTCCAACACTCTTACCGTAAAGATGTAGAGCTAAGCTATCTCCCAAAATAAAGTCAGCTAAAAGAAGTCGCTCTTGTTCTCTTGGACCCCAATAATATGCCCGTAAAGGAACAATGCTTTTATGCCTCATTGATCCAATTCTTTTAACTTCCTTCGCAAATTCCTTCTTATGTTTGACAAGTCCAACACGTAGCCACTTAACTGCCAGCATATGTCCACTATCCAAAGTAGCTTTGTATAGTGTTCCATGGCTGCTTCTACCAAGAACTTCAGCTGGAGCTCTGGATAATTCCTCAGCTGTGAATAGCAGTGAATTGTCCAGAAAAAACAATTCTCCGGCTAACCGATCTGGTGAATACACATCTAGTGTAACAGGTAGTTCACGCCCTTCAACAAACTGGTGTGAGGAAGATAATGGGGAACCAGGGGAGGAATTTTTCGCAGAAGTAACAGGATGATCGTCGAGCAAGTTAGGAATAATCATCGATGAACTTGTTGCGGCACCACCAGGTAAAACATGTTCAGAAATCTCAGAAGAGAATTCTGCCTGCCCAGATAATGTCCTTGAAGTAGCGGTTAGTAAATGGTCGTTTGAAAAACTTGAAGAAGTTGGTGGAGGCTGATTGTTCAGTTGGAATTTGAAAATAGAAGGCCTGAAACGTTCCATCTTATTGTTCCTTTCAGTACCCTGGCCGCTAAATATACTTCTTCCATGGAACTCTTTACGTTGTGCTCTATGATAAGCCAGTAAAAGAAACACAATCATCACAACTGTTCCAACTGAGGCAAGAATAATAGCTATTCGTATATTAGCTTTAGAAGTGCCACGTTTTCCCTGCTCGGGTAAACTATCTGGAATTGAGTTCTCTGAACCTATATCTTTCGGTAAGCTAAGTTTATCATTTCCGGGACGAAATGATGAGACAGGGAAGTTCCTTAAATTCTCTGGAACACTACCGGAGAGATAATTATAGGACACATTAAAAACATGTAGGTTGGGAAGCATATCAGGAATTTCACCTGTAAATTTGTTGTTCGATAAATCAAGATACTCCAAGTTACTCAGTCTGTTCAATTGATCTGGAAGTGATCCTGATAATTCATTCTTTGCAAGATTTAGCAATTTGAGACTCGCCAATTTATCTATTTCAGGAGGCAACCCACCAATCAAGGAATTATTAGATAGATCAAGATATTCCATTGGCAAATCTGATGGTTTAACTAACAACTCACTAACACTCGAGTCTTGAAGAGGAATGGGGCCAGTAAACCGATTTCCTGAAAGATTGAGGCTGATCAAGGTAATGGATGTAAATAAACTAGCAGGGATAGTACCGCTTAAATCATTCAAACTGAAGTCAACTGCAGACATGCTAGGATAGTTCCCCAATGTAAACGGCAAAGGGCCTACTAATAAATTATTTCTGACGTTAAGCACCTTTAATCCCTCAAAGGAAGTTGAGTTTGGGAAACTTCCTGTGAACTTGTTTGAACTTAAATCAAGAACTTCAAAATTGGCTTCCCAAGTCTGCAAAACTGATATGTCGCCAGATAAAGCATTCGACGAAAGGTCCAAAAATTTCAGAGTAGAAGAGTCAACGCGAAGAATTGAACCTGCAAGTCAAATAATTAATGATGTTCAGCAAAGTAAAACGTACGGCGACCGTGGATGACAGTATAGGTTTAGATCATCTTAAAGTTCATCTCAAAATACAAAAATGATCGTAAGTCTTCATATAGCACAGAGAAATTAAAATAAATGGTCATTTTTTGAAACCAGTTGAACTGAAATAGATTGTTAGTCTATGAACATAACGTCGCCATGCATGTGACTAAGTGACTTCAAGTTATAATCAACCAAAAGAAGATCTTAACTTTTCAAGCATTAATTGCAAAAAAAAAAAAAAAAAAAACCATTATGTGTGCAATGCCTTGAGCAAATCCCAGAGAGATCCAAATTGGGAGAACAAATTAGAAACTTAAATGCACCTTCTTAAAATGAATCAATCTCCAGTAAAGCATAAAAAGTGCGATAACAAATCAAGAAATTCTTTACCTGTAAAGGCATTACCACTAAGATCCAATTCCTCCAATTGCAAAGACCTGTTTAGCAGTTCCCCAGGCACTGAGCCAGATAAAAGATTATTATCAAGCCTCACAGTCCGCAAATTAGGCAAGGACCCAAATGAAGGCAATTCCCCAATAATCTGATTATGACCCATATCCAAAACTACCAAGTTTCGGAATAACATGAGAGAGTCAACGTCAAAGAATCCACCATTCAATCTATTGTAACTTAAATTGAAAATTCTTAACGTATTAGCCAAACTCGAAATGTTCTCGGAGCCAACTGAAAGTCCTCCGTAAAACTCATTGTGGCTTAAATCAACATATTCCACATTCCGCAGCTGGGAAACCAACAGGCCAATGTTCCCATAAAGTCGATTAGAGTGCAAATCCAATACCTTAAGCTGATTAAGATTCAATCTACCAACAGGAAACCCACCATTAAAGTCATTTGCTGAGAAATTCAGATAGTTCAGATTGTAAAGATCATTGATCCGCTCCGGGATCGGCCCGTAGAATCTATTAGAGGACAGATCCAAATGCTGCAGACTAGATAAAGTCCCAAGAGCAGGAACAAGCCGTCCAGTGAAATCATTTCCAGAAAGACTCAAATTCTTAAGGCTCTTAAGCCCAATCAGAGTCTGGAACTTCAACTCCCCACCCAAGCCTAGCCGGTCCAGCACAATTGCAGACACATTACCGTTCTCATCGCAAGACACGCCAGTCCAGGACGAAGGGCAGCCGTTAACATCAGAATTCGAAACGAAGGCCAAATCCCACTTCCCGATGACCGAATTGTGCTGATCTTTGAGAATCCCCTTCTTGAATTCAAGCAGAGAGTTGAGTTCGGAATCGGAGGCTGAAGAAACCAAGAGTATAAGCAGAAAAATGAAGTTAAGAGGGAGAGCTGCGTGATGTAGATAAGCAATGATATTCATTGGTGAGAATGTGGGAAAATAAAAGAAAGCCCTAATAATTCATAGAGGGGGAGTGTGGCCACGCTAGAAGAGAAGAGTACTCGAAACCCTAGAACCAGACTGAATGCCAAGAAAAGAAGAGAAAGAGAGTTTAGATAGAATAGGAGTATATGTTCATCAGAATGCAGACAAATAATAGAGAGAGAGAAGAAGAAGAAAGAGAAAGCGTTAAAAATGGCGGTTTAGGTCAGGTTGAGAGTGTGAAAGGCAAGTAAAGCACAGTCAAATAAAATGGCAATGCTCCAAAACTACTCTCCGGCTCCGAGGCCATCTCCATCCCTCCCTCCCTCCCTCCCTCTCTCTCTCCTCCCTCGCCCCCACATTCTCTCTCCTCCACAGTAACGCCGAATTGACGCCGTCAGCTCAGTTGGGTTGGGGAAGAAAGAGTAAAAGATAGGTCGATTTCAGGTCAAAAAGTACAGTGAAACTCGAAGACGGCTTCTTCTTCTTCTTCTTCCTCTTCTTCTTCTTCCTCTTCTTCTTCTTCCTCTTGATGGATGGAGAAGATGACGGCTGCAGAAGGAGGAGGAATCAGCTGGCGTTGAGCTGCTGTGTGACTGTGCTCTTTTTTTTTTTCCTTCCCTTCAGTTACGCAGATAATAATGGAGGTTTTCACGTAATGGAGTGGATAACAGCTAAGCAATTTTTTTTAACAATATATATTCTCTTTATTTATTTAATTTATTTTTTTTCTATTTTGGTTCAAATAACAGCCAACAAATTCCTCTGCTTTCTGTATCCTTGTTTCTACTCCTGAACGTTGAAGTTCAAATTTTACCAAAATAAGTGAATTATAACTTTATTTGTTGGTTTGTAAATTATGGACATCAAATTATTACTTGTCTTATTTTAAATTTAATTTTCAGAATTTCAATAAATTTATTTGATTATTATTATTATTATTATTAAATTTTTAAAAGTATATATATAAATAAATTTTTTACCATATCCTCAATGTGTTTTTACTTAGGTACCTTACCAAGTTTAATAAAAGTATAAATTCAAAATAATCTTAAAATTTGATTTTAAAATTTATTAAAAATATAATGACTAAATTTGATCGTATAAAGACTAAAATAAAATGAATTTAAAATATGAAGATCAGTATAAATTTTATTATAAAAAACTATATAGATTTATGTTAATATTAATAAGGTGAAAGATTTAATTTTTCATTTTAGAACAATATAGTACTATGACTTTTCATTCCTAATTTTTTAAATTTTCACGTTTGTTGTTGACTATCTCAAATAAATATTTTTATTTTACCAAAAAAATGCCAAAGGAGACGTGGAATTGAAATAAATTAAATAATAAGATAGCTAGAAATGACAACTTTTAAGCAAGAAGCTGTCTTTTTTTTTTTTATAACTATTATTATTTTTTAAATATTGGAGAAAAATGAAGGAATTGTTTGTTCTGATGACAATTTTATTATTATTATTATTATTATTATTATTATGCATCATTGACCAATCCACAAAATTATTTTATACGCCAATTAGCAATATTTTCTATCATTATCCATAAACAAAATATGTTTTTAAGGAAACAGATATTGTTTTCCACTTTCATTTTAAGAATATGTAAATAACTATGTATAAGTTTAATTTGCAAGTTACTCACAGTAGAGACACACTCTATTTAAAATCTTGAGCATCACAATACAAAATTCCCAGCATTTAACAATAAATATAAAATATATGTTTTTCTCAAAAAAGAACTTCCTAATACTTTTCAAACATTTAAACATATTTCCTAAAAACACCAATAATTTTTTGAAGAAATATGCACATAAAAACACTAAAAATTTATATCATTTGCATTGCCAGTTTGGCCTTTGTGAAAATGTAACAGCTAGAGTACCTGACAGTTTAGGCCTTATCGCTGGCCATATTCTCACTTGGACACACACATAACCATCCACCATTGCGCAGCAAGTGGCAACTCTGTGCCTTTTTGAGGGGGAAAAAGGTGCCCCCACCCCCGCTTCCCACCTCTTTTTTCCAATACACAAATTTATATCATAAACTCTTGATATAGACCGGGTTGAAGCTGAAAATAGATTGGATAAAGGAGGAAAAAATGTAATAGTCTAAGTTCACTGTTAGTAGATATTGTTTGTTTTGACCCGTTACGTATCGTCATCAACCTCACAGTTTTAAAACGTGTATTGGAAGCCCAGCATCCTCGCTGGCATACTGCTTGGTAACTGCCTCTTATACTATTTATAACAGCTCAAGCCCACTGCTAGTAAATATTGTCTAACTTCAAACGTGTCTGCTAGAGAGAGATTTCCATACTTTTATAAAGAATGTTTCCTTCACTTCTCCAACCGGTATGGGATCTCACAATAAATAAGCCTCTAAACAATGATTCAAAATTTCGAAAGAGTTTTTTTTTTTTTTTTTTTTTCTTCCACAGTAAGCATGGCCCAAGCCATAGTTGGAAGGTCTGGTTTCTCAAGCAAAATATAATCAATATTACAAGTTTGATTCCTCCGTTACAGGCTAAGAGCATATCTATCTCAAATTCAAAGCAAAAGGAAATCATAATTCTATTTAGACATTTGATATTGGGAACCTTTTTGGCTGTTCAAACAAAGACTAAGGTTTCTGCACCCTAACATAATGTGATTAATAATGAAGAGGTAGACCGAGTTTTGGAAAAGCTCTATCCAAGGTCTAATAGAATTCCGAGAACGTGACTAAATGCCTTAAAGCAAAAAACATCAATAATTTAAAGCAGTGGGAATTTCAATGTCATGTCAGAATAATATAAACAAGCTTCTGAATAGCTAATGAGCCAAATGAAATACAATTTCATGATTTAGTTAACAAACCCAACCTATATTTAAATACATTTTATAACACACTTTGCAATATTCTATGGATTTGAGATTTCTTCCCTTAAAATAAACAGATAAATAAAACTATGATAGCACATTACCTAACTCGCACTCACACATAAAGAAAATGATTCCTTTTAAAGCATAGAAACGATCACATTGAGCCCTCCTAATATATTGACAAAATCATTCTGTTGAAATGTTCATGAATTTCTACATAAAATCAGCACTACGTGATTTTAATGACAGAAAATGGGATCTCATGGGACTTTCCTAGCATGTTGACCAAATTATTTTGTTATATTGTTCGTGATTTTCCACATAAGATCTGCACTGTGGGATTCATATGACAGAAAATGGCCACTGCCTACTCACAATTATGCTCTTATATGGCTAATTTGAGTTCCCTAATCAGTAAATAAAATTGCAAAAAGATGAAAAAAAATAAGCTCGAACCTGTAGGCTGGCGGTGGGGGGTGAGCGAGTGGGTAGCAACGTGAGCGTGGATCAGAAACCAGACCAAGAGAGAAGTGACAGCTTGGAGAATCTTGAGGATAAAACCAAATTAATGACAACTTTCCACGCATATCAGCTCCCCACATTTTGTTTATGGATGCATGCGACAAAGGCACCAAAGAAAGCCAACCCATGCCCTTGAGGGTCGAGCATCGCTGCCAAGGAATCAGGCAACAGGTCAAAAGCAAGCTCAATTTCATAAAAGCACATGTATCAATGAGAATAGAGAATAGTCGTACCAGTATAATATTTTTGTCTGAAGAAGCTTTCAAGATCTTGTCTTGTCGGTGCCTGTTTAGTTCTGAATCCCATGATCTGAAGAAGTTGCTTCATCTTATAAAACGCTACTTACTCCATCCTAGTTGACAGCTAAACTTTCTCCTCTCAATAAGATCCCTAAGATTTGCTATCTTTCTGATTTTCTTCTTCTACTTCGCTCAGGTTGGGCACGAACGTGCGAAATCCAATGGACTAGTGGTGGGTTCCGTTAAACCCTTCAATTTGGTAAGCCTCTCTCTCTCTTAAGTCATTTTCGTTAATTTCAAGCTTCAAACTTCTTTCCTTCTGTGGAAACTGCAACTCCGCCGAAGATGGCGTTTCTGGCTGCCTAATAAATAGAGCCCTCGTATTTGAAAGAATAAAGAGAAGGTCTTGGTGTTAACATAGTAGACGTTAAGTGCTAAGGATGGGATAAAATAAAATGTTTCAGACATGAAGAAGGCTGTCTACAGTCAGCAACTCTCTTCGGTGGTGCGAAGTGGCATAACTCATACACTATGTATACTATATACTTCGGTGGGAAAAATTACAGTGCAAACGATGCTCTTCTAATAAGTCAAGAATATACCTTTTATAAGTAACTGTAGTTTACAACGAAAAATTTTAAGTTTCGATCTTCATGGTACCTTTTGCGGCCCAATTGTAGTGCGAAGAAAGACGAGATAATGAAATAAGCAACAAAAAAAGGGGGGCCCCGGAAATGGGACTCAGAATTGAATTACCTCTTGCATCTACATATGAACATTAACGAGGGGAGGCAAATAACTCTATGCAGCAGCATTCTGCATAATATATTGACATTTTCCAATGTTTAATAAGAACGGTACAAACATCGTTCCAATTTCGACACTCGATTGTTTAAAAATATAACTGCTGTGAGACTTGACGACACACCTGGGGAGTGCATACGAGGCGAGCTCAAAATACTCAGAAAACAGAGCTGGTTAACCAACCATATGGTGAAAATTAATTCGTGTGATAAGATTTCAGCAAGCTCGGAAGAAGTGCTCACTTTTTCAACCCATAATCATCTAATGTAATCTTTAATGATTTATACCTCAATCTACAGACTAGTGCCTTCTATCTACAATTTGATGATGGATTATAAGTAGATTCATTTGCTGGGAATCATAACGCGGAAACCTGAAACATGTTTGTAAATGTTTGATTAATCCACCACACCCAAATGGTGGTGAGAGTTCTCTTATTTATAATCATTTACAGAATACAGAAATAAGGTAAATTACAAATAATAAGGAAATAGCGATAAAAGGAAAGAATAATAAATGAATACAATATATTTGCATTTAGTAAAAGAGAAAATATGGTAACCCGTAATGTAAGGCAAATATCTAGATATTTGCCTTAATGAACGGTCAACTATCCTTAACACCCCCCCGCAAGCTGAGCGTCGGATTTGAACGAACATGAAGCTTGGATCTGAAAAATTCAAAGAGAGGTCGAGAAATACTCTTTGTGAAGATGTCAGCAACTTGGAGATGAGAGGGTACATATTGTGTACGAAGTTTGCCAGCGATAACAAGTTCTCGAAGGAAATGATAATCTAGTTCAACATGCTTGGCCCGCTTGTGAGAAACAGGATTAGAGCTCAAAAAAATAGCACTTTTGTTGTCACATAAGAGTAAGGGCTGCTGTGAAATAGGGACCTTGAGGTCATGCAAAATATGCGTAACCCAAAGAAGTTCAGCAGCAGTTGTGGCAAGAGCACGATACTCAGATTCACAGCTGGAGCGTGATACAGTAGGTTGCTTTTTGGCACTCCAAGAAATGAGATTGTTACCAAGATAAATAGAATAGCCGGATGTAGAACGACGAGTATCGGGACAACCAGCCCAGTCAGCATCCGAATAAGCGACTAGCGTACTAGGAACAGTGGATGGACGAAAGATAAGACCAAAGTGGAGTGTTCCTTTGACATAGCGAA